CAAATTGGTTAGAAACGTAGGCAAATTTTTTTTGGAGAAAGTTTGGAATACTTGAGTTTTATCATTAAGAAGAAATGTACAAATTGCCCTTGAGTTGTCATCAACAATAGTGAGAAATAAGATGCTCCTGTGATTGTCTTTGTCTTATATAGACCCCACAAATCCACATGGATTAATTTGAAAATGTCATCAGAATGAGATTCACTATTTTGAAAAGGAAATCTTTGTTGCTTGGATTCATGACATGGAATACATGGAAACGATTCATCATGTAATTTTGAAGGAATACAATTCAAATGTTCCAATACAAATGTAGATGAATGTCCCAATCTTTGATGCCAGATTGAAAAAGAGTCCTTATTCAAATGTCTTACAGAATTACAAGACTGTATGTCTAAAACTTTAGGAATCATTGGAATCTTATCATTACAAGACAAATGAAGAAACAAACTATCATTATGTAGAACATATAGATTTCCCAAAATCTTTCCTTGAGCCACAATCTTTTTAGTTTCCAGGTCCTGCAAAAGGCAATATGTGGGATAAAAATGAAATGCAATTTTGTTGTTATAGCCAAACTTTTGACAAATAACAGATTGCACTTAAAATCCAGTACATGAAGAACATTTTGAAGAATCACCTTAGGAATTAATTCTATCACACCTGTATGACTATAGATTTAATACAACCATCTGGCAAATAGATTTGTGAATATCTATGAACTTTACTAAGATTCTTCATACGAGATATGTTGGAACACATATAAGCTGTAGCCTCAGTATCTAATATCCAATTGGATTCACCAAAATTACCACTATTTAAAGAATTTAATAGTGATAATTTAATACATACAAAGTCCCCAAAGTGTGAGAAATTAACAGAGTGTAGATCGGCCATCTGATTAGCCTTCATGAACTGGATAAATTGTTGGAAAAGGGAATTCATGGAATCATTGTTGTTGTTAAAAGAAAAAAAGAAGACTCTTGATCATTGTACAATGGATTATTGTCACCTTCATTAACATGTGGCATATGTGCAAAATTGAAGTTACTTTTCTTCTTTTCTTTAAGATCTTTATACCAATCTGGATAACCATTCAACTTGAAACAAGCTTCTTTAGTATGTCCATTTACTTTGCAATGATTGCAATATCTATCACCATTATTTCCTTTGTAATCAGATTTACATTTATATGACAATGATTTATTCTCATTAGAAGTTTTAGTTAGCATAGCAGAAACTCTAGTTGGATTAGAAAAGTTAACTTGTATTTCCTTTTGTTTTTCGACACTTAATGCCATTGAGTATGCATTATGAACAGAAGGTAAATGATCTAGTACAAGAATCTGACTCCTTATATTTTCATAGGTATCATTGAGTCCTATAAGAAATTGCATCAATTAAGTTGAAGAAGTAATATCTAAAATCTCTTTTGCAGATCCACATGTACATGAAGGTATAATGACTAAACAATTCAATTGATTCCACAACTGCTTCAATTTTGTGTAATACTTTGAGAGTGAAGATTCACCTTGATTTATTGAATCAATTTGTCATTGTAGTTGATGGATTAGAGGACCATTACTTTCACCAAAGTGCTCTCGAAGATCTAGCAACAATTCTCGAGCAGTCGTAGAAAAAACAAAAGCACCGACAATTTATTTAGAAATCACATTAAGTATACAAGAACCAACCATGCAATCATTACTGATGCAATCATCAAGCTCATTTCGTTCGATTTCATGTTCCTTCATAGTTCCATCAATAAAATCGATTTTCTTCTTAGCTCCTAAATAAATTAGTATCGAAAACTTCCAATACATGTAGTTTTCATTTCCAGTAAGATGAGTTGAAACAAGAAACATACTCGGATCAATGCTCTTATAATTGATGATCAAACTAATCGAAAAAGAATTAGAATTAGAGGAATTAGGATCAACAACACGAACTGAATTCATAATTGCGGAAGAAAAAAATCAGATCAAATTGAACCTGATCATGAAAGCTCTCATACCATTTCAACAATGGTGACAAGAGTATTTTAGAGAGAGAAAGTAATTTAGTGATAATGAATTCATTATTCTCATTAAACCACAATACATAGTACATGAAGTGATATAGAAAAGATATCTAACAGAATTAACCGTCCTAACATTACAAATAGATACCTTATACTATTATATATTACACAATGGGTCTCTCAAATTCTTGATTACATAATTTCACAGATGTCACATTGGCATTCATTTGATTTAGAATTCAATCTCCATTGAACTCTTCACACGGATAAAGGAAAGTCATATAATTCTTAAATAAATGTTTAAAATATATTCCATTGAAATTGGTAAAGTTCAAAGCACTGTGAGAAAAATTAATAAGAATTTATAGAATAAAAATTATAATGTATCAATCCATTAAACTGTATATAAAGTTCAGTGCATTGTGGATGTCCTACAAATACATCAGATGACAATTACGAAACTATCATAAAACCACCCCTAATGACAGTTACAAAAAGGTTTTGTGGGCGTGTCAGACCTAGATCGGGCCTGGCAGTGGCGGATCTAGTAATTAATTTTTGGGCGTGTTGTTTTCTCTAGTTGTGGCCATCGGGAATATCGGGGTATAGAATGGTGTTATTTTTTAAAAAAAAAATTGTCGTCAATATTTCGCTTTAAAATTATTTTTCCAATAATACAATTTTCTATGTCCCGTGTTTAGAATCACATTTCAAAATCAAATTTTTACGATATTCATAATGGAATTAAAATTATCACTTAATATGATCAGTTATCATTTTATATGTTCCTAATAATTGCATAAGTGTGCCCAAATAGCATAACGTAATTTAATAGAAAATTTTTAGATAATGGTATTTTAGTTATACATACATGATTAGTATTTTGTTTTTTTAGAACAGATACATGACTATCGGCAAAAATCTTGGCAATATTTCAAGTCTTAACCGACAAATATGAAATACATAAAAAGTACATGCTACCAGTTAGGGATAATGACTTAAAAACATAATATTTTTCGATTTGTATACATTTGTTAACTGAGTTTTTTCTTCGTCCATATTTACCCATTCAATTTGTTAAACTGTACACATTCAGTCCTTTATTATCGGCTACTTCAGGTTAGCCGGTAAAAATGACTTAATAGGGTAATATATTTTTCACTTTTACACATTTAATCCTTAATATTTTTGTACACATTTAGTCATTAATATTTTTTTATTGCAAAATAAGTAATTTTGTTTTTGTACTAATTTAATACTTATGAATGATTTCTTTAAGTTTTTCTCACGACATCTTATGTGGTACGTTCATTAATAAGGTGTTTTGGGCTTGATGCTTATGTCCATCGCGATCTCGACTACTTGGTTGCTTAGGTCATGTGTTCTAAACGTCATAACTTCTTCATACGATCTCGAATTTTAACGATCTTTATATCAATACGTTCTTATTTTAGTCTACTACAACTTTCATTTAGATTACTCCCGTTAAAAAGTAACATATTTTTACTTACGATCTTTATATTCATTCGTTTTTTATGAATGCATGTATGAATGTTTTTTTTATATAAAATTGTACGTAAAAATATATTATATTTTAACGGGAGTAATCTTAGCGAATGTTGTAGTAGACTCAAAAAACGAACACGTGAATATAAAGATCGTTAAAATATGATATCGTATGAAGAAGTTACGACGTTCAGAATATAAAACTTAAGCCAAACCACAAGACCTACACAACAAAACAATCGAGATCGTGATAGACATAAACATCAACAGCCCAAACACCCCATCAACGATTGTCCCAAGTAAAATATCGTGAGAAAAACGTAAAGAAGTCATTAATAAGTACTAAATGAGTACAAAAAAATATTAATGACTAAATATGTACAAAAATATTAAAGATTAAATGTGTACAAAATGATAAATATATTACCATATTAAGTCAATTTTCCCGGCTTATCTGTAGTGAACGGTTATAATGACTGCATGTGTACAGTTTAACAAATTGAATGAGTAATATGGACGAAAAAAAAAAACTCAATGACCAAATCTATTTGAATCGAAAAATATATTATGCTTTTAAATCGCCCCATCACCGTACAAACAAAGTCCCAAAAGAAAATGGCAAAACAGTGGGAAATGTGAATTCTTTTCAAAGTTGAACTTAGTTTATTAAAATAAGTTGCATACCTTGAGAATAAGGAAAAGAAAGCAGACAAAGACTTTGAAGAATGAGTTTCTCTCTTCAGCAAAAGACTGAGGCAGTTACCTATAAGCAAAACAAGCTGCGAAAGTGCAGAGTCCGCGAAGGCGAAGTTGGTGGAGGAGGCAAACCGTAGAGGGGAGAAAAATTTAAAGCAGCAGTCGGTTCTTAGAAGGGCAAAACTTCTGGGTATTTTATTTTTGATTTCATAGTTCTTTTAAATTTGTTTACACTATTAATTTTGATTGTAATCTTGTTATATTCTATTTAACGTAGCAAATACCAAGTAGTTTTCCTATTTTCTTTTTTCTGATTTTAATTTAGATTTGTTTATATTTATTAAACACAGGAAAAATATTTTTAATTGTAGAAAGAAAAATTTAAAACTCTTTTTGTGTTGCGTATGCAACGTACTTTTGGTTGAAGGGTTTGCAATATCAATACCTGTACATAATAGAAGATTTTGTTTTATTAAATATCAACACTTATAGGACAGATCAAGGGTATGCATTTGCATACCCCTGCACAGAACCCCTGTCCGAGCAATAAATTTATGGAGATAGTGAAGGCCAATAACATGCACACATGCATGCTTTAATGCTCAACATCTATATCTGACGTATTGTTCATCATATGACGATATCACAAACCTTACTCTCCTTTATCTTCCCAGATCTTTCACACTGCCACATGTAAAAACACAAACAACATAATAATTCATAGTCACTTTGGAAACGGTATTTCGAATTTACTTTTAAATCCATGGATTTCATCATTTCAACTTCCATTGTCAGGTTGACTGGAGTTAATTTCCTGATCCTCGTTTGAGTTATAATTCCTTCTAGAACTGGATTCCGAGTTCACTTCATCATTTTCAGCCTGTGATTCGTTCACATCAGTGCTCATATTGGACGGCATAGAGATATGACGACCTAACCGATGATTATTTGGATCGATACCCATATTTAGAAGTTTTATGCTTAAGTGTGAGTTCCAGTAATTCTTGATTTCATCATCTGTTCTCCCTGGTAGTCTCCCAGCCATAAGTGACCACCTAAAATAACATATGCACTTCTCGATCAGTGGTGGTTTTTATTTTTTATTTTTTTAATTTTTTTGGATCATATTAATTATAAAATAACCTAAATAGTTAAGAGTGAGAAACTCATATTGAAGGGGAGATGCACCTGTTACCCAGTAGGGCGTGAAGCCTGATGATGAGATCATTTTCATCTTCACCAAACTCTCTTCTCTGAAGGTCAGGCTTTAAGTATCTTGACCATCTTTCCATACAGCTTCTGCAGCAACGAAGTAGACCTAATCAAAATGAAAACCATAAAAATCAATGGTCATATAAAACAACTATTAATAAAATATATAACAGAAAAACTAGATCACACACAAGAAAATATTAACAAGAAACTACGTTTTATATTAATAGAGAAACCTGCAGCCTGAGGGAGGGTGTGCCAAGAACCTTCACCATGGGCGGTGACATAGTCTATAAGCTTCTGATCTTCTTCCTTAGACCATGACCCCGTTTTCATTTCATGCTTATTATCACAAGGTTTCCTCATTTTATGTTATTCTTTTAACTACTTGTGTTTGTTATCACGATCATGATTATAAAATCAGGAAGCCTTTCGTTGTGCAATGGTGGTGGTGTTTTGATTAATGTGTTGGAAGGTGGAGGATGTGGAGTGGTAGATATGAACAAATGGAGGCATGTAACATGTTCGTATATATTGGTGTATATATATGGGGAAAAGAAGTTGACTTGGACTGGTGGTTTGCTCGTGCTTCGGTTTACCAGCTGCTTGGCAAAGGATGTTTGGTTTATTTGTAATTTTACTTGATCCGCCATTTTAAGAGGTTTTTGCAAAAATGGGGGTTTTCTCCAATTAATTACAGAATGAGGTACCATTTGAGCTATTTGTTTATTATTTAAGTTTAAATAATATACCTAAGTAACAAATGAACACGAATACATGCACATAAACACATAAACGAACATATGTGTGCGTTTTTTTTTTTTGCTTAAAATTTTACTTTTGTTCCTATTTGTTTGTTTTTGATCATTAAAATGTTAAACGTAGACAATTAAACGTCCAATAATCTAAAAAAAAAAACTTAGAAATAAAGCCTAAATGTCATCTAGCTTCATTTAAATATTATCACAAAAAAATCAAAATTTAAATGTTCCACATTTAGCTTGTTGCATATACATTCATCATATATTATATATTAAACTATATATTAATATCGGCATTATATTATATAACAATTAAAAAATTATAAATATCAACCGATTGCGTGATTTTACGCTACAAATCATTCTGTTTCATCAATATGCAAATATCATGGAAGATCAACATCATAAAATATCGAACATAAACAAATATTAATAAACAGACATAAACAAACAAACCAACAAAAACAAACATTCATCAATGTAAATAAAACAAGATCATTATTCATTTTTTTAACACCTTAATTTTTATTAAAAAGCTCTCCTACTAAGGTGCAAGGGGTCAGCAGAAAAGAACACATACAATTAATCCCAGGAATTATGGCTAAGGCCTCACAATATTTGTTTTTTCATATTTATTCGTTTAACTAGATAACCAAAAATTATTTTTCATATTTGTTAAATGAACCTACTACCGAATGATGCACGAACCATTAAGCGAATTTTTGGTTTGTTTACCACCTTAGGTACCTCCCGGTTGTTATGTAGAAATGGGTGATGATCTCACCAACAAACAATTAAACCGTTTGATATTTTTAGATTATAGGTCCTAAGATTCAATTTAAGCATTTAATTAACTTGTATAAGATATATTATCCTTCCCAATCAAATAGTTTATTTTACTGTAATTTACATAAGATCTTCTTTATTTATAAATATAGACCCACACTACAAGAATACCAACCTATGCCGACGATTTATCCCGTCGACAAATGTCGCCGCTACAAGTAGTACAACACGTCGTCGACACAAGTACAACGGGAATGAAGAATATTTTCGCGGTCTTCTAAAAACCTAGGTCGACGACATGTCGTCGGTATAGGTTTCGACAAGTGTAATTTCCATTTATTTTATTCCATGGTACAGAAAAAAAAGGATGTAGTTGTTGGAAAGCTATCCCGACGACTTGTTGTCGGCAATGTTGTAAAAACCGGTTTTTTAGTTGAACCGGTATGATGACCGGTTCCCGGTTTAACCGGTTCGACCGCCGGGTCAACCGCTTTCTATAATTTTCATATTTTTCTATTTCCTACAAATACATATATATATAAATCATGAATTTGACGTTTACTAGTTCAAACATTAAAAATATACATAAAAATAAGTTGTAGATTAATTAAAATATATTAAAATAACACATAACCATAAGTTTTAGTGTTTTACATTAATCCATATACGTCAAAAAGAAAATATAATATAATACCGAAACAAAATATAGTTTTAGATGAATATAAACACATCAAAAACATTATAACATTTACCATATGTTTTTATTTAGAGAAAACTAAATACATTTGAAAAAAATCATCAAAGTTTATTATGCAAATGATTCTTTCCCATGTGTTTTTATTCGATTTAACCGGTTCAACCGATTTATTTTTACTGGTTCAACCGGGCTTTTCTAAAAACCGACCGGTTCAATCCGGTTCACAAATCGACATAAAACTGGTAATAGTTGAACCGTTCACTCCCCCGGTTCCCGGTCCAACCGGTTCAACTGGCCAGTTCAAACCGATTTTAAAACACTGGTTGTCGGCATGCCACGCGGCGATCCGCGTGAATGTCTATCTCGACCACCTGTCGTCGGCACAACATTTTATTTTCATTTTTTCATTTCAGTAAATAAACAAAACGACAACGTTACGTTAAACCTTATACCGACGACAAATCGTCGAAATAAGATTTCACCTTCTGATTAGGGATCATACGCGACCTCAGTTGCAGCGGCGCACCCCAACTTTTCTCTCTTGATCAGGTCCGGTGTTGCTTTCGGCCATTCCTTCACCGACGATGTCAGGTAACACCTCCTTCTCGTTTCCTATTCAATTTCCGATTTTTTCCTTTTTTCTTTCTTCTGATTTTTGTGATTCCAATGACCACGGTTGCCATCAGTGGTGACCACCTCGCCCCCTCCGTCGTTGCAGGTAAGAAAGTTTCACTAATTTGGGCGTTTTATAGGTTGAACAAGGACAAATGCCGCAACACATTGTGGGTTGGAGATAGATGCGCTTCAAGGAAGGTCGGGTTGGTGTACACCGCAAGTGGAAGTCGATGGGGTAAGTAGTAAATGAAGTTAATACGTTGTTAAATATGTTATTATTATTATTATTATTATTATTATTATAGTTTTTGTAAGGTATACTATTATTATTTTAGTGTTTAAATTTAGTTATTTGTTTTAATTAATGATTGTGCATTGTTTTCTTTATTTTAGGAAAAAATTCAAGCAGAGTATAGGAAGACGCAAGAAGACGTTGGAGAGGGCGGACATATAAATGAGTCTCATTGTATTACTCATGCCCTCGGTGAGAGACGTGGACATATTCACAGAGTTGGAAGGAAACCAAGACCAACGATCATTTAATTCCAAATCAACCTACTTTTAAATCTTCCAAATCTCAATCTCAAAATACGAATAATAGTCAAATTGTTGTATTAACCCAACAAATGCAACAATACATACAACACATTCAGCAAACGTATAATAACTCATTGGCGTCCGTAATTCATAACTTCCAACCACTACCAATACAACAATTTCAATTCGATCCCAATATGATTCCACAAAATACCCCCAAACCAACCAACGAGACAGAGGAAACAGGTGAGGATTGTAGTGATTGATCTTTTCTGTTATTTTCAACTGTGTTTGTTAAAGACTTTTTTTTTAGTTTTTTGTTATTTTGGTATGTTTTACATATTGAATTTGAACTATGATGGTTTGTTTATTTAGTAATTGGCATTTTGCTGCATACATGGGCGGAACACAAGCCCTAACGTTAGGGGTGCCGAAATTAAAAACTTCAAAACAGAGTATATTATAAAGAAAATCAATTTAGTTGATGATTATTATATATATATATATATATATATATATATATATATATATATATATATATATATATATATATATATATAAAAACCTTTATGTTAGTTTTTGTTTATGAATAAGTTTTTCTAATTATTTAAACTAGGTTTATTCATTTTAAATTAACTAACAATGAGCAACAAGGTTTGATCCAAATTATGTTCTGAACGTTTCTTGTTGAAAAAGCTCTTAGTGTTTTAGTATTCCAAAATATGTTTTTAGCAACAAATTTATTTGTCTTTTTAAACCCTCCTTTGACAACTAAACAACAAAGCAAGTATAATTACACAAATCTAAAAGAATATGAAAACATTTCTTTAGCTAGAGATTATAATACAGAGATGGTCTAGGCAAAATAGAATAAAAAATGTAATAACAAATATAACATTATTTATTAATATAGGCATCTAGGAAAAAAAGTCAAAAGCTAGTATCTAAGCTTAATACTTAATAGTGTAGTTTGTCCTTGTAGCATGTGATTGTGTGCGACAGAAGTCTTTCATAGAAAATGAAAGGGTACACACAAGAGATCACAGTGTACTACACCCTTCTTTATTACACCATGTCTATATCATGAAAGATCAATGCAAAAAAAAAAAAAAAACCGTAAAACACTCTAAGAGAAGGAAGAAGATACAAAACAAGAGGGATAAGAACAAGTATGGTATGGACTTACAAGTAAGCAAGGCTTATGGTGAATCGGAGAAGAAAGGTGAGGACGAGTGATTTTTAAGGTTGAAGGTTTCAGTTTTATGTTGAGTAAATTACACGAATGGTCCCTATGATTTGAGGAAATTTGCACGCTCGGTCCCTAACTAATTTTTTTAACGCGGAAAATCCCTATTGTTTATTTTTGTTATGCGTTTGGTCCCTACTGTTTGTTTTTGTTACGAATTTTGTCACCGTCTTACTTAAAAATACTATTATTTAAATATGGAAAAATGATGGTGTAGGTAAGGTAAGGTGAAGGGGTTGAGTTGGGGGGTGTATTTATTTAAATAAATTAAAAAATCAAGGGAAAAATAGTTTTTTTAGGTAAGACAGGGACCAAACGCGTAACAAAAACAAACAATAGGGACCTTCTGAGTTAAAAAAATAAGTTAGAGACCAAGCGTAAAAGTTACCCTAAACCATAAGGATCATTCGTGTAATTTACTCTTTTATGTTTGAGACATTTTAATAATTTTTTTCTAACTTTTATGTCATTAAATAGTTAGAAATTTGAAAGTTTAAATTTTGGTGGATAAGTTTTCCTTCAAATTAGGAATTTTAGGTATCCTCATAAATACTAGTTTGTATTTTCTATTGCTCTTGTTTTTTGTTGCTTTCTAGTCTCTTCAACGGGTTTTTTTTAATAACTTATAAATCATTCAATATATAAACATGTATTACTAGAATGGAAACCAGGGGGGTCATGGCCTCCATGTGCCCTTGAAAGGATCCGCCCATGGTTGTATATA